CCCCAAACCCCCAAAACCCCAAAACCCCAAAACCCCTAATTCTGAAGCAGCATTGGATTAATAATATTGGTTAAGTCTTTTTAAATTTGGCATGCACTCGTTGTGGACTGTTGTAGTGTAGTTGCGTAACCCTCCTGGTGGTTTTTGGCGGGGTTCTTGGTTGGATAGAAGCTTTTTGATGCAGCTTACGGTTTGTTCATGGGAGGAAGTGGCCATGTGGGATAAGCTGAATGGATTTTTGGATGATTTCTGGGGGTTTTTAAAGCCCTGTGGGAAATATACAAGTTTCTTCTGATTAGGTTTCTAGGAGTGAGGAGGAAAAGTACCTTGGTAAGCGCTTTAGGGCCAAAATTAATACTGTTTAAGCTGTTATTAAGAGTTTGGTAAGTCGTTTGTGGCTCAAAATTTTCCTTATCTCATTGAGTGAAATAATTTTTTATTCATATATCTCCTTTTTCAAATTGAGACCTTTGCCTTCCTCTTCTCTTTATTATGCCTCCAAAATCATTAGTTACTAATGAGTTTTCAGTTTTAATATATGGCTCTCAGACTGACATTGAGAAGTCTGTTTCGAATCTTTTAGAATTAGTAGCTCCTTTCTCAATAAAAGTGCTTATTCTCGGTACTCTCCTCGAGACGTTATGAGTAGAGTATAGATCAGAATGCCGCTCTTGGATGTTTTCAGAGCCATCAATGTCTGGTCTAATAGGCTTCTCAGTGGAATCATGCTCAAATGCAACCATCTCAAGACTCTCATCACTGCTGTCACTCTTCTCTCTTTATTATTATGAAAGATTGCTTACTTATAATCTTGTACATTAGTTTTGGCTTTGAGGATTTTACGAGAAGAGACTTCTCCAAACTCTTTCTGTCGGTTGCTTAGATTAGGAGTCATATTAAAAGAATTCTGAACATTCAAAGCATTATTTTCTTTGTTTTTAATAGACCTGTTTTTAACTACAAATGGGTTTGAACTTATCTCAGCTTTCTCTCAGCTATTAGACATCCTCTTCTTATCTTTAAAAAATTGATTTAAGAGTGAAGAGCTTATTTTTGAGTGTCTTGATTTTTGAAATTTCATTCCTGGGGACATATCTCCTGTATAGTACTTAGAACTCTGATGAGAAGAAAGTGTTTGTTTAGATAGAGATAATCAAGAGACTTTCACAACTTTTGTTCCGCTGGAATTATCACCCCAAAGTCGAGGGTCTATCTCAGTATTTAGTCTTTCATGCTTCTCTCCCTCTTCTCTCTCATATTTCTCATATTGAGTTGAGAAATTCTTGATTCAAGCAAATGGCTCATCCTCATCAATATTAGTAAAATCTTCAGAAGGTTGCTGCTTTAAAGTTTCATTCGTGTACTTCATGACTGTAACTTCATCTTCATCTAATTTGCAAGCGCTAGAGAAAATATAGCTCATTTTCAAGCCTAAGAATCATCTGTATTGTTTGCTCTATCCTTTGTCATTCTTCCTGAATTTGGCTCTCACTCGAATGGAGAGCCTACAATTAAGTAATTTTTCTCTTGGGCAATGTCCTTCATCGACTGAGTACTGTCAGAGTCTTCAACTTGGTTATTGAGATTGTTATGATCTTCGACATTAACATACTCCGATTTTAAATCTTGAGAATATTCGGACTCTGAATTTGTATAACTTAAATTAAGGTCATTTACAGATGGAGAAAGGCTTTTATGAACTGAATCTAATATTTTTACGTATCCCTCATCATCATCATCTCAAATTGGAATTACTTTAGGACTATTATAAGGCATTTGGTCTGCAAGATCAATTTCTATGACTGGTCTACTTTCCATCTTGAAAATATTATCGAGATTTCAAGAAAAATTAAATTTTCAAATTTCAACTATAGCCGCTATTTTCGGGGTTTTGGGGTTTTGGGGTTTTGGGGTTTTGGGGTTTTGGGG